GTTTGGTTCCAATCTTGGTGGGGACATTCACTACGACCTGAGTCTACACCCATTGACACGGGGTCCAGAGTTTCTCCCCCAGAATTTGTTGTGTAATCACACACTATATTTGCAATAGTGTGTTGCCTTCTACACTAAACTCAGCTGTAGACTGAATGAGAAGCAGTTATGTATGTTAACAGAAGATTAATCATCACAATTCATAATTTGCTATTACTTGTGCTTTCTCTTACTTACTTTCCAACTGTTAAAAAAGCTCCTGATATCTTTTATCTTATTTGTGGAGGTGGCATTTTTTCTAAATTATATAAGAAGGTATAGACAATCAAAAACAGACATTCATATACATGAACTGCAGAATCATTTATATAACTTGGCCAATGTCAAAAGTTACATAGTATTTCTCAATACAATGAGTTAACAAGAGTTTGGCAATAAGTAACAGTGTGGATTTTTCTATATTTTCTTTTTTTTATTCCACTCTCTACCCAAAAAGGCAAGTAATGACTCACAGGGCTCTCAAGTATGCAAAATAAAAAACTTAAATGACCTGTTGTGGTGTGTTTTGCGCACAACCAGCATGCATCGTTAACGCAATGGAAAATTTACGTATCCGAGCTTTAATTTCGGGAGCGCTGGTTGCGCTTTGGGAAGAGTCAGGGGAGAGACATGTCAGAGACACAGGGGAGAAACGGGGAGATACGAGGGAGACCCGCACTTGCAACATGGTTCTGTCTGCATATGGTCCGAGCTCGGTACCATGTTAGAGCTGTGCTTTCACTGAGCGCCGCGGCTGTCATTACAAAGCGGCAGCAGCTGCACCAGGACGTGCACATTCGAGTGCATCTCTTGAATGTGCTTAGAGCAAATAACAGCAAGTGCCCGCTGTCACACATTTCACAGAAATTACATTATCAGCAGATAAAGGTTGTAAATCGTGGATCCGTGGAATATTTTCATCCCTAGTTTATCCTGATTCACACAACACACCCACTTATACATTTTGGATAGTAAGAGCACAATAAGTATTTTGTCAGCCTTTCAACCAACCTGTTTCTTTATTGGAGCCAGTTCTGTTCTGTCTCTGTGCCGTGTGAGCTCCTCGGGACATTAAACAGTGCGCTGACAGATTAGAAATAACGTAAGTACTTTGAATGGTAAATAGATCTACAATACTTTCCTCTGATTACTCACGTGCTACAACGCTCAGGGAACGAAAAAAAACACTTGCTTCACGCTGGCTAACTTTTAAAAATTAAACAGTCGCTCAGTGCTTCAGTTTGGCGCTGAAGAAGACAGCCAATCACTGCAGAGAACGGAACGGGTCACGTGCTGCTGCTGCTGCTGTTGCTCTGGAGGCGAGGAGGAGGCGCGACGTATGCACAAACGGAAGACATGTGTCCCGGACCGTCCGGGTCCCGGGACATCATGTCATTTTGGTGGGGACTTTTTAGTCCTCACCAAATATTGGTGGGGACATGTCCCCATGGTCCCCACGCAAACCTACGCCCTTGCTTTCAACTCTTGATTCTGTCTGCAGCTCTGTTGAATTTCCAATCTACTGTATGTGTCATGTTGTCTCTGTGTGGACATGGTCTGAAGATCAGCAGTCATATGGGATACTTGCAAAGGCCTATATTCGCTTTTAACCACTTGTTTTTGATGTTCCATTTCTCCATGTTGCTAAACGGATTCTGTCCCAGTGAGAAATGGGAGCATTAGCTGTAACACGGACACCGTGCACTCACCGTGGCCTCCTGAGCACCCAGAGCTGGAATATTTCACACGCACTGCTCTCCGTACAAGATCTTCTGACACCCCAATGCATCATGGGAAGGCTGCGGGGTGGTTTATACACTGGCCACAATGTGTCACTAAAGCTGCTAACAGCTGCAGGCTTCCATTAAGAAGCACACAGCTCAATGCTACAACAGCACCTTCGGGCTCGGGGTGACTTGTATCCTCACACTGACATTTTTAAACCATTTCCCCGAAGAGGTCAGGTCCACAGACTGAACAGTCATGAGCCCAGTCTGAAGTCAGGTCTGGAGATGGCCTCAGTGAGCAACATGTAACAGAGAGTTGATCATCAGGATTTATTAATTGAAAAGAAGTCGATGAATGCACAGATTAACAATCAAGAGAAAGGGTTTAATGAAATTTGAAAAAGGGCAACTTTTAATGTCTTTAAATGGCCAAATATCAATATCTTAATAATAGGCAATATTTGTATCAGCATGCAAAAAATGCAATGCAAAAAACAGATTTAGCGAAAGGTTTCCTACATTGACTGCATAGGAAGCATAGGAATAAAATATCTAGACTAGATTTGCGACACTAGATATAATTGACTTTATCTGAAGAATGTTACAGCAATATTATCACAATCTCACTGCAGTTTGGAATGGAAGTATGGAATGAAAAAAATAAACAAAGTTTTTGAAAGCCCCTTGTTGTGGTTTGGATGTTTGGAGCTCTTCAACATCTCAATATCATCCCCAAACACTTACTTCAACAACAACAACTACAGTCCTTCAGTGGAACCAATATTGCATATATTTAAAGCTCTAGATACATATTTATAATTAAGTGTGTGACTATTTGGATCTCAATAAAAAAAAAAAAAAGAAACTTGTCAACATTTCAGTAAACTGTATTTGTTTCAGTGATTTCCTTTAATGCAGTAAGACTAGCAGGCTTGGCTTTAAACCTATAATCTTACCTCAAGGCGTTGCTGAAAAACAGCTTCAGTAATGGGAAAATAAACCCGGAGTACTCATATATATATATATATATATATATATATATATTATATATATATATATATATATATATATATATATATATAATCAAAGAAGGTGCTGTTCTTTTCTCCCACAAAAACTACACAGATGCAACCCACGTCACAAATACGAGCACTACGCGGGTAAAACATGGCTGCGTGGCAGGACTATATAACACATGTGGTGGTTGCCTGTGCTTTTTCTTTGTTTATTGTTGGACCACAAAAAGAGAAATCTCACAACTTCTGAAATGTTGATATAACATATTACTAAGCAAACTACTGTAAATGATAAAAATGTCTTCCCCCATCACCGTGCGTAGAGATAATGTAACAATAAATTGCTTTGGATGACCTTGGTCTGTAAAAAATTAAAGATTACTTACTTACTAAAACAAAAACTCTGATAAATTATGTTATATTGTGTGTAATTTGCTATATCCTTGTTTTTGATTGGAACAGAGCACATTAGTGAACATCTACTAATACAACTATTCAGTGTGTGGACTTGAGTTGGAGTTGATAGTTTCTTTTGTAATTGGTTTCATAAAAAATAAATTAAAAAAAACAAATAAATGCCCTTTAGTCATATACTGCCTTTCACACATTCACAGAGCACTTTCCAACTGTTTCCTCATCTGCACTGTGATAGGAGTGGAGTCTAGGGTTGGGCGATATTTTTTTTGTACCGGTATACCGGTATAAGTAAATTAAATGATAAGAAAATGCCTTATACCGGTGAAAACGATCATTTAACACTGAAAACAGCGAGCGGAAGACACGTTTGTGTGCGGCGCACTTTGATGACGCATCTGCGCGGCACATGTAGCAGAGCGACGTGCAGGGACAACAACAACAGAGCAGATAGCAAACATGGCTGAGGGCGGCGGTGAAGACCATGGTGAAGACATGCAGATTGTAGAAGACATTGTGCCAAAACGTGGAGCTACCTCAAACATATGGGAGTAGTTTGGGAACTAGATAAAAAGAAGCAATTGTGTGTAACTATCGACAGTGGATCTAATGTTGTGAAAGCAGCTGCCCTAAACAACTGGACTCGAGTGGCTTGCTTCGGACACTCGCTCTCTCTCTCTCTCTCTCTGCCATTGGTAAGCTTTATTTACTGTTTACTGTCATTCATTTTACTTCAATGCATGTGTTTGTCTACATTGCAATATAATTACAAATAAGTTATAATTACATAATTATAGAAACGCAAAAAGATACAAAAAATATATACAGTATTTGATAATTTTGACTATATTGGGATTAGGAAACATAAGCCAAAGTGATCAAATAATTATTTGATAATGCTACACTTTTTATATTACAAAGGACAAACTTTTATATATTTTACAAATTACAAATGTTCACCTTTATTGCATGTTGCCTGCAATTTTCAGTATGAACAAAACAGAATTCTCTACAATTCAGTTTTGTTAATACGTTTTATATACAATAGCTGTATTACACATTTTGCTGCCAATAAATCAGTAAATGCACTTTGAGGCAAGTGTGTTTAAAATGATCAGTGCTAAGTTTTTATAGCTTTTATATGAGGCTTTGTTCAAATTATCATATCGTCATATCGTGATACATACCAACAAAAATCGTGATACATGCTGAGGCCCATATCGCCCAACCCTAGTGGAGTCACCAACAGGAGGTTTCTCAGGCCTATAGTACATGTTTTTAGTGGTAGGGGGAGAACAAGCAAACACCACACAGAAAGGCTCCGTTTGGACTGTTGTTCGAACAAAGTACCTTCTTGCAGTGAAGAACAATTACAAACCACTGTGCTACCATGCCATCCAGTGAGTAGGAAAGAGTGTCCAGTCAAGTATAGAAATTGTGAAAAGTGGGGCAAGAGTTAAAGTTATTACAATCATAATGTTTATCATTTGTTTCTAAGGGATTGCTTAACTTTTCGATTTTCAATATCATATACGTTTTAAATGATATATTAACTCATTTGGAATGAGATAATAATGCTTCACAATATTTGCAATACATTTGTTGCAATTTGCAAATGGCGGTGGAGAACATTGCAATTTCGATGTCACAAACAAACCAAATCTGTTTACGCAGTGGCACAGACTGGCCGAGACCCTTGACCTCTGTGAAGGCGTAAACTAATTCTTTGTACACAATGTCTGGAAAAGCACGTATAGGTGACCTTGTGGTAACACAAAGAGCACAGTTGAATGGCATCTCTCACCAGTGGATGTGTGAACTCTGGGCTGTGGTCGTTCTTGTCTGCGATGGTGATGGTGGCTGTGGCCGTCCCGGTCAGGCCCACCTCGCTACCCGCCATGTCCTTCGCCACAATCTCCAGCTCATAGGTCGTTGTGGGAAGAGTCTGGTAAATAAACAAGAAAGAGCACTTCAGTTTGGAATAAATTGCAATAATATTTCCCTGCATACCATTTTAATAGGCTTTTTGGAATGTTGTCATATCACATGAACCCAACATTTCAGGAAAAAAAAAATTTTCACTCAAGGACAAAAGAGACAAATGCAGCATGAAACAGGAAGCTGAAGCTGATAAATAGAAGCAATTGATTTAATAGTAAGTACTGTATTAACGTATGCAACTACTGTGCAAGTTGTAGAAGCACACTCTTAATAGTTTTTTGCCATATGCTTTTATGAACATTTATGATTGAAATGAATATAAAACTTCATCTAATTAAATGCCACATGGACCTGATTACAAAGTGCGTAAAGGATTGCTGCAAATCGTATGTGTAATCAATTCCACTTTCTAGCATCTGGAATCTGTAATATATATCTTACGAATATGCCACACGGGAGATGGCATGCGTAATGATGGGAGCAATAATGATTTAGAAATTCATTTCTAACATGAATGGGGTCTGTACTGAATAATAACTGGGAAGGAGACGGCTGATGCTAACATTTGTTTATCTGGTGTGATGTGGTGAAGTCAACTGTCACATGCTTAATAAACTCCATCCATCTCCATGTCTATGGAGGCGCTGCATAGGGCAGTGGACCATTAGGATGAGCCCATGTAAAAGCGTTAGTGGAGAATGTTATCAATGTGCTGATAACAAACACCGGCATAAATGTAGAACTATTGGTGAGAATAATATATTTAATTTATGATTGACATAACTATCTATAAAAGCAAGGAACGTCTCTCCCTACGTCTGTCAGTCTGCATTTGCCCATGAACTTGGTAATTACAATTATGTTTTCTTCAAATACACCCACTTGATATTCGAAAAGCTCCAGTGAGTACAATATGACGTGTGTGTGATTTCAGTCTAATACTTTTTCATACCAATTTTGAAAATACTGAATATCAACAAAACACGGCAACTGTTGCTTTAACATACAGAAAAGATGCACAATTGTCAAATCCAGCCAAGTATGTAGAGAAGCAGCCAAGTTTTTCAATATCACAATGTGAACAGATAGAATGTGTGAGCTCTGAAACTTTCTGAGAGATTTTTTTTTTTTAACGAAACAGAAGCGCTCAAACTCAGGAGCTTTGGTACCCGGGGGACTGCTGTATAAAGGGATCAAACATGTACTGTATAGTTTGAGGTTTTTCTCTTGGTATAGATTTCCATTTTTAAAAATTTGCTTAAAATGACCCTCCGATTTAGATTCTCCTTTGTGCATGAATTGCCCATGACTACAAAAACCACTCTGGCCTCTCATCTTTCGGAGTTTGATCCTTTCTGACAAACCAACCAGATTATTCCCGCTAATAGTGTTTGCTATTGGGAACTGTGACCCCGAATCTGCACAAATCCTCTGCTCACCCAGGACTCCTGCTTTCATCACTGATGCACTCAGATCAATGCAATCACAGGCAGGCAGTGGCAGATTACCTGATCAATACAGAGACACCTTCAAACTCATTTTGAATATTGCATCAACAGTGGGCATAGTTCAACTGCGGACCTCTCCCGTACTTTAGCATCACTTATGGATTCAAGCTGTTTCAGTTTTCAGATCAATTCTCTGTCCACACATCATCTTCCATCAGACGTTTGATATCTATGTTTTGCTTTTGTTCTTCTGAAAAGGATTTTGGTTGGAGTCAATGTCCAGCGCTGCCTACCCTTCAGACACATGTATGCCCATGTGTATGTATGGCCAAAATGTCGATAGTGAGTGAATGCATATCACTCCATCAAATTATATCGTTATATTGAGTCTTATTATTTAACTTAAATATACATTCTAGTTCCCATTACATTTTCTGTTTTGTCAATAATGATAATCTAAAATAAAATGTAAACAACAACAACAACACACACATTTATTTAAGGTGCAAATAGATAAGAACATAATGGAAATAACACAATTTAATCTAGTCTATTCTAAACACAGTCAGTACAGATTTTGATGGTAGCCTCTTTGGTTTTGTGGATCTGAATATTCTGAATAAATTATCATTACATTTTCATCCCTTTATTAATCAATTTCTGGGTCAGGGGGGTGGCAATCAGAGCAGCCACCCAAGTCTCATAGCACCAGTCCCTCGCTGATCCTCCTGCAGGTGGTGGGTCCACAGGAAGATGGCTTCTCTGTCAATGAAGATCTGGCCTTGACATTTCAGCGGGGGCTTCAGGCAAAGTGGAGTTAAGTGTCTTGCCCAAGGACACAACGACAGCAGACATCAGTGGGAGCAAATTAAACGGGTCGTGGTGGGATCGAACCCACGACCATTAGGTCCCTAGACCAATGCTCTACCAACTGTCGGCCCAATATTCTGAATACACAATTTGAATAAAGTCATAACCGATTATTGGCGAGACAGCTAGTGGGGGGGCTTCCACCTTGTTTTTTTTGGCAGCCATAATCACCGCCAAAGAGAACCCATTTTAAGATTAACAAGCTGCCGGCCCCCGTCTCTTCTATGACACAAAATGCAGCCAGCTTACACTTCATGGAGAAAATGTGATTTTAAGTAAGTCCTATGTACAAAGTACAGTAGGTGGTATTATGTTTTGTGGAAGTTATGTGAGCATGAAATATAACCCTGTGTTTGTTTTTTTGCCAATATAACATCCACATATAATCATCACTGGTTTTCACAACTATTCAAGTGTTTTTCACAAAGAGCACATCCACAGCACACCACCTGTTCTCTGTGAAATAACCACTCACACCACAAACTTTGCTCAAATACAATGGAGAAAAAAAAAAACATCTTCATGGTCTCTAACTTTCCACTGGAGAGAGTATATCCTTGTGCACAAACAACATAAAAAGCTGCTGAATATTTACTGCCGCAGTGTGTTTTAACGCTTGATTTAACAGCCTGTCTTGGAGGTTGTTATGGCTGTGTCCAGTGGCACAGCTGCTCAGGGGCAGATAGTGAGGAAAGCAGGACAATAAACAGCTGTTTGCTCCATACTGAGTCACAGCGGTGGAGACAGGGGTATCCCTCACTGCAAGACTCGCTCCACCAGACAGCCGGCCAGATGGTGCGCTGCCCTGCTACCACCTTTGCTGGAGAATTGTGTATGAAGCGAGTGAACTGTAAACATGTAGGACTATGGACCATGATAGTCCTGTTGTAATAAGAGGTAGTGTACACAATGTCAGACCAAATTTACCATTGAATGCACCTAAAAGGGGACAACCAAACGAGCAGGAGTACACCACACTCCACCCGTTTCCTCAAGTCTTCAGGTTAAGACCAGTGGGGGCAGGTTCCAGCTCAAAAGGGTCCATGAGTGGATACGCTGACATGCTTGTAGCCTGACTACTTGCCGGTGGTGGTGTTCTGGAAACAGAATTATAAAACAGTCTTACTCCGCCTTTTTTCCTCTTGAAAACGGCTAGACAGCCCGGTCCAAAAGTCTGCTCTTGGCTCAATGGTACTACGTCCCAGACTCATGTCAATGCCGCGGGGAGTATTTTGGCGTTAGGCATTCGTTAATATTTACAACCTATGGTTAAGACTGGACTCACTTGAGGCAATGGGTGGAGTCTGCGGTGCTCCTGCTTGGTTGGTATTCACACTTGCAGCCACAACGGCCTTTTGAGGACCAGCTTGACACCCCTGCACTGTATATGAAATATATGGCTCATTAAATATCTAGATCATACAAAATGTCTTTAGCTAAAACAATGTTACAAGAGAGGCAAGTTGTGCACTTTGTTCTTGATTTTACTAGAATGCCTTTATGGACTGCCCCTAAACGCATTGTCAGTAAAAGAAAAAGGGTACGCTCTACAGCAGATCAAGGTGCAATGCAAGATTGTTTTTTTTTTCCTTTGAGCTAAAAGGGCTACGCAAAATGGATGAATCCTCCTCATGTCATGGATTCAGGAAGAAAAATTGATGAGGAAAGTAATAAAGTAATAATATATGAATGCATCGGTTTTATATAGCGCTTTTCAGGACACTAAAAGACGCTTCACACAACGTTATTCTTTCACTCCATACACAGTGGTGACAAACTAGAACTGTAGCCACAGCTGCCCTGTAAAAAATGCAAAGACACACACGGCACATTATATTAAGATATTACAAATGGTGAGTTTTCTTCAAAGTTAATGTACATGCCTGCCAACTGTAAACAGGCTCACAAACAAGCAGCGCAGCGATCACATCTGCTGGGGTTGGCCTCCAGCTGGAGCGGAGGGGCTGTGGGAGCTTGTGGTCTCAGTGCTGTCTCTACACATGCAGCATGGGCTCCTCTGGCGACTGACAACGTCTTAATGAGTGTTTCCTGAGTCTCAACTCAATTAGAAGCTCCCTGCCAGTCGCCGGCCGAGGAAACATTTTCACATCCACTTTGGGCTTGAGTTGGAGCAACAGGGAATTTACACTGCAGGTGTCACCAAACTTGTGCTGATAGAGCTGCGGCTCAGGCTGCCTCTTCAATTTCAGCTCCTCTTTAATTTGCCTTAAACACTCTCTGAACAGCACTCCAGCTTTATATCAGGGCTGCGATCACACTGTGTAATTATCATTGATGAAGTAAATTAGATTCATGTGTTTAGTATTATCTGGTTTGAAGGAATTCAACAGGTAGTATTTTGTTTTTGTTTTTTTGTTTTTTTTTTACATATTCCTGATGTTGGGCTATATTCATTGACAGGACAAGAAACTGAGTACATTTGAGATACAGAAATACATGTTTACAATTCATGATCATGTCAATATCTGAATGAGGAATGACTTATAAGATTAGCAAGCATTTCAAAATTAGTAACTTTTTTGTTTGAAACCCTACTTAGAGATATGCATCAGGTCAGAGGGACGAAGGCCAAAAGATTCAAGTCTTTGAAGAGGATGAGAAGACACATTACTCGGTGAAA